GAGGTTTAAGGTTGGTCAGGTTTTGTGCTTGTAGTTAAGCTTTAAGAAAAGATGATTCTGCTTTTGTATAGTTTATAACAGACAGGCAAGTCAGTGGTAAACAGCCTGCTTCTTTGGAGGCATCTGCACTGCATGCTGAACTTGAACTTACGTCATACATCTAATGTAGCGAAAGGCTTCCTTAGACTGAAGATTTCTAGTTCCTAGAAACTTGAAGCATGAGCAGTTCTGCTGTACAAGTCACTGACTTGAAAGGGTGACTCTCAAATTGGCGTAAAAGGCCAACACCATGACAGTGCTCTCTCTGGTTCCTTTCCCAGCACTGGTATTTTACGTGCTACTCACAGTGTCCCAGAATTGTTTTGACTGTGGTCTTGTGCTTCTGCTCTTTGCTCTGCGTTTTAATGGAGATTTTTCCCGTTCCCCAAACCCTGAGAAACTTCTTCAGCTTCAGTTGCAGCTGAGATGCAGGCAGTATGATGGAGTCCTCCTAAAGTTACAGCAGCTGTAGCATGTGCCTTGTAGGATCCTGTGTGCTGCCTTCCCTTTAAATACGCTACAAGGGGATCGGGAAGTGGGAATGGGGAAGAAGCAGCTCTAGTGTTTAATAAGCCATAAGGTGTCACTTGGATTTGATCCTTTGCTGAGGGATGAATGCACTCTATTGATCTGAGTCATCACAATATTCAGGTGAGTTTTCAAAGTTCTAGATGGTTGCATGTGCTGTTAGATAAAATGACAGGGTGACTCTGGACCTGCTGGTGAGGTGTCGCGTGGTGTTTCAAAGGACTTACGGTCTCAGCCCTCTTGCTGAGGGCTTGGTGGGTGTTTGCCAGCCTTAAAGACTCGTCTCCAGGCAGGATAGAGTAAGCTCCCCAGTTTGTGCCAGTATTGCTCTTGTCCTAAGGATGAATATATGACCTAAGTCTTGGAGGTCATCAGGTTGGTCTGTCTTACAAGCATGAGCAAATATTCAAAGTTAAAATTTCACCATGACTTTGTATTTCTTTCCAGAAGTATGTAGGCATTGTTATTGCCACAGTGGTCACTGATAACCTATCAGTTCAGTGTGTGCTTGCACATACTTCAAATATTTGACACATTAGTGGTGGCTAGTTGTGAGGTTTTTGTTTTGAATGTTGCAAACTTCAGGTTTTTGACAGGCATTCATTATCAGTACATTTTTGTGGGCTTGCAAAAGGTGTGCTGTGTAAACCACACCAGTGTGACTAAGGAGCTTCATTATAATTGCTCTGTCATGAAAAATATTTGTGTGTTTGAAAATCTCAAGGGGATTGGGCAAGTCTGCTATGGAAACTTGCATTTCACAGGAAGAAAACAGTTTAAAGTTGATGGCATAGTTTTGTGGTGGTCTGTTTTTTTTTTTAAGTAAACAATAATTCTTTTTTTTTTAACTGATTAATTTTAATAGCTAGAGACCTTAACTGAAGTTAGAGACCCCTATACTGGAAGTGTGCAGATATTTTTGTACCTTTTTTTCCTTTAGCTCAGGGTAGAAAGCTCCACATATTGGATGATCTAGCAGGGCCCTCTCCTCGTGGTGGGTGATGAGGCAGGTGGATGCAGCCTTCCTCCCTGGCCCCATGACAGACTCTGTGGGGGGGTTGCTGATAGTCCATAAGCTGCACTGCAACCCACCTGCCCCCCAAGGCACCCCCCAATTTTAGAGGGATCTTTGCTAGAACTCTTAACTTTGCACATGCACTGCGTTTCTCGCTCACCTGCTGAGACACAGGCGCTTGTATTTACAAAGCCTGTGTTTAGTTCAGAGTCCGAAACCCCAACCAACCTTTACGATATCTAGTGGAAGAAAAACGTTGATCTCGATCCAGCCAAACCTTCCATCTCATCCCGCATCCCTTGGCATGATGTGAGAGGCAGGGGAATGGAAGCACCTTCACAGGCTTTCTGAGTGGTGTGAAAAAGCATCCCTGTACCTTTCAGTTTTGCTTCTCTGCTCACGTTTCCTTCGCATTGTTTCAGAGACCCAGGTTTAACACGCAGCCTCCCAGTTCTCCTTCCCGAGGAAATGGGGCATCACGGGGAGTTGGGGTCCTTGTGCGGGAGAAGGGCAGGGGAGTGCAGTGGCACGGGTGAAGTGAAAGAATGAGGAGCTGTTCAGATGCCCAGTTGTCTGCTGTATCCACCAAACCGTTTCTTGGTTTTGCTTTTGGGGTTGAAAGTTTTGGAAAGATGGGAGTCGAATCCAGGGATTGCCTGGGAGTTAGTTGCTGTTTATCCTAGCTCCTGGAAAAGAGACGCTTTTACGCTGATGCTGAAGTGGTTTCATTTTCAGATAGTTACACAACTGGCAGCATTACATGGAATGCTGTACTAGTTTAAAAATACTATTTAGTATGTAATTTCCACTTTTCTCTCCTAGGAAGGAGGCAAGAAGAGATCTGTACTGACCACAGACCTGCGAAGCGGTCAGCCGTGCTCACAGTTTGTTTTCGATGGCAGGCTTCACCAGGGAAGGGATCCTGATATTATCCAGGGGAGAATTTTGATTTTATCTCACCTCTAAGGCTGCACATGGTTTTCCATCTCTCCTCTCTAGAAAGAGCATCCTGAAGGCCAGTCCAGTTTAGGCTTGCATGCCACAGAGGTGAGCAGAAACAGGAAGCACCTGAACGCCACCGTAAGTTTAAAACTTTCAGATTTCAAGCATTTTGGTTTTATTCAAAATAGGTGTTTTGCGAAGGTAGAGGAAAACCTAGTGTTCTATAATAAAAAAAAAAAAAAAAAACAAAAACTTTCCTATAAAAGAAAAAGGTGACATTCCAGTTTTAGTGTAAATTTTTAGTTTTTAGTTGTGTTACATTGACTGATGTTTGCAATAAATGTAAGAGCATTGACAGCACTTTCTCTTAATACATTCCCTAGTTCATATTTTCGAGCATTCACATTTCAGTTTCTAACGATCTACTGCAATACATAATTAAGACTATAAAGCACCCAGCAGTGGCTTCTGCGGGTTTTGGCTCAGAAACATAAAATTTAACTCAGAGGAAGATGCCTGAGCTTTCACAAAGAGGCTTTTTTCACATAGTGGTAGAAAATGAGAGAAATTTCAGCCTGAGCAAAAGAAATACTGCAGGCAGGATCAGGGGTGAGAATGCAAAAGTAATCGAGCTGATGTGCAATACTGAACTGTCTGGAGTTCCTCTGAGCTGAAGGGGGCTTAGCTTTACTCAATGCCTTCAAAGCCTCTACTCAGCACCTCCGGAGCGAGCTGGTAACATGTCGAACTGCTGATGACAGTGTGAGTTTGCTCCTGTAAATCTGCGGTTAGGATGAGCAGCTGGTAAATAAACACAGCCTATAGCCTTGGTATCGCACTAAATGTGAAAAGGGGAAGAGACTTAACAGACCGTTCTGTTTAAGGTACAAGGAAATGTTTCTTTTTCAACACAAACGTTTTAAAACATCCCGGCCGGCGCAGGGCTGCGTGTTTTCGGCGGTGGGCGGGCGTGTCTCTGGCAGAAGGCGCTGGGCTGGGCGCTGCTCCGCCGTCTCACCCGGCTGCCCCAGGAGCGGCGGGGAGCCGCGCCGCTGCCCGCAGCCCGGCACGTGCGCTGCCCTCGCCTGGCAAAGCCCCCGGTGCAGTCGGCCTTGCGCCTCTTGCCGACCGGGCAAGCTGGGTGCCATGGCCGTCCCTCCCACCCCTCACCCCCAACGCGGTGTCTGTTCGGTACTGGAGCCGTAGCCTGTCCAGGCCCATTGCTGGGAGACCCCGACGCCTCTGGCAGCTCAGCCGGGCTCCGACGCTGCAATCGCAAGCCCTGTGGCTTCCTAAAACCCACCAGCGTGTCCTTTGCCCCAGCCCTTCTTGAGGCAAACGGGCAGGAGGACCGGCCGCTGGTGCCATTTCGCCCCGTAGCCCAACACCAAACCCACGTGGGGGCCACCAGCGCCCAAACAGCCGCGTCGCGCTGGAGGCCGGGCGGGGGGTGCGGGCGCTGAGACCTGCTGAGCACGGATCGGGCAGGGCCCGGCACTCGCAGGGGATATCGAGGGCGTTAAGCCTTGATAGGAACTTTAGCAAGATAAGAGCGATCTGGCTTTATGGCCTCTGGAAACTACGTGGAAGTGAAGCGAAGGTCACGGCTTCATTTTGCCACACGGGCAGGCCCTCCGTGTTAGCTACAGGGGAGAAACCTGGCAGCCATTCCCGTCCTGAGTGCTCCCTGGCTCTGAGGGTCGTTCCTCTGAGGAGAAATCAGTCCACAGCAGCACAGGTAAAGGATTTTTTCATGTATATATGTATATATACACACATACATATATATATATATACACACATATATACATATACATACACATATATATACACATATATATGTGTGTGTGTGTATATATATCCCCTTCATCTTACTGAGTTTATTTGTTTGCAAACATAGAACAACTTATAATTTTTTTTTTCTTTTTCCACCCTCGTCAAGGGTTAAATCTAAATACACAAGTGAAAGAACAACTTCCTTATTTGCTCAAGTCAGAAGCATGCTCCCAGCTTATTTCACAGCAGCGTGTGAGCGCAGGGAGGCAGGGAAGGTGCTGTAATGACACAGTCGGCTCTGCCAGAGCCCCAGCCCCCCATAAATCGGCACTGCCCTGTCCTGCCCCCCCCCGCAGAGGACTCCCGCTCCCTTTGTGAGACCCCGGGGGCATCGTGGCTGTGCCGGGTGTGATCAGCATGCCGCCGATCTTTTGCAAGGCGGTTGCTGCTGGGTCAGGAGTGTTGGCAAGTGAGCCTGGTTTTGGGGGGGAGGGGGGGGGGGTCAGGAGGCCGCTTTGCACTGGCCCGAGTCAGGTCCCAGGGACTGACCCCGTGCACGACGTGGGGTGTTTTAGGAGAGCTCCCGAAGCACATCTACTTTTGTCTCCCCTGGCAGCAATCCCACCCGCCAGCTCCAGCCGTCGGCCAAAGAAGAGTACTTGGGGGGGGGGGGGGGGGGGGGGCCTCAAGCTGTGCCAAAATGGTGAGGCTGGCACCCGCAGGGCTGTTGCGTGGGGAGCAGAGATGGGATAAGGGATGGGACGGGATGGGAAGCTTTCCCCGGTGCCGGGGGCAGGTGCCGGCAGGAGGGACGGAGCAGAGCGTGAGGTGGGAGCCTGGCCCAGGCCCAAGATGTCCCCTGAGAGCGTACGGCGGTATCCAGGGGTGGTGAGGAGAAGGCGGCAATTACGGGGCAGATGCACGGTGAGGGATGGTGCTGGGGTGGGAAGGGAGGGTGCAGAGGGTGGGAGGCAGGTGGATGGATGGCCCTGCCGAGAAGGACCGGGAAAGCAGTCCCCATCTGCAGGAGGAGGGCCGTGGGCATGGTGACTAAACTTCTTGTAAAAGGGGGTGGAGAAAGGAAAGGGAGGGACAAGAAGAAGGGAAAGAAAAAAACCTGCATGTCAAGTCTGAGGAAATGCTGTGGGAACTACAGCCAGGCGTCATTTTTTTTTTTTTTTTTTTTTTCTCTCTTCTTCTTCTTCTCTCTTCTCCCCTCGTGTAGCTGAGAGGAAGGAAAGGAAGAAAGAGAAGTAGCTAGCTCAAATGTGCCTCGCTCTGCTGCCGGGGCACGGGGGCTTGGCTGGAAAGATCTAGTTTCTCTTCGGTGGCAGGAAAAGGAGCCACAGGAGGAGGCAGAGACGGACACCCAGACATGCCCGTCCCGTCAGGCTGCTGGCTCCTTCTCCTGTGCCTCACTGCCGCTGGCAAACAGGTAAGGCTGCGCTGCCAGGGCTGAGCCGGAGAAGGGGGAAGGCGGGTGTCGCATCTCACCCCGGGGAGGTTTGTTTCTTCGCCTGTCGCTCGGAGGAGGCAGCGAAGTCGGAGCCTGTGGCATCTTGCACCGCTGGCACTGGCAGAGTGGGGTTTAGCAGAGCAGCTTCGACTGCCTTTTTTTTTTTTTTTCCCTCTGTTGTTTGGTTTTTGTTTTGTTTTTTCCCTGCAATTTGCCCTGTCTCACAAGCTTCTCTCACTTCTTTAAAATCAAAATAGCCCAAACCTAAAGCTCCAAAGGAAGCCAGAGGATCTGCAGGGAAAACAGCCTGCTCCTGCCCAGAGCAGGGTGTGAGAAACCAGAAAATATTTGCAGTGAGGTTGTTGAGGCATATAATTTGCATGTAGAGTAAAAATAAGGCAGACTCCACCCTACTGAACAGATTTGTTCAAGGGAGCATGAGCACACTTGTCCCTCAGACGTGGGACGAGCATGTAGGGTCTTCACAGCCCAGGTACAGCTTTTCAGCCTCCCCCGGCGGGGCGCAGTCCCCCTCGTGCTCTGCCCACCCCACCGTCCCAAACGCAGGGCACCCCTGAGCAGCGCCAGGAGGTGGGGCGATGTTGGGACACCAGGCCTACAGGTGGAAGACTGAGGCCCAGACCGGCTACGTGACTCGCTTGAAGGTTCACGTGCCGCTCACGACAGAGCCAGGAACCAAATCCTAATCTCGGGTCAGCTGCCCCAGAGGGGCAGCCCTTTCCTCTCAAGGGGAAAGATCTGAGCGGCGTTTGGCTCTGCGGTTGTTTGCAAACAGAGCGTGCTCTTTTGGCAGCTTCGTGCAGTGCCGGGTGGCTAATGGTCAGTGTGTTTCACCTTTGGGATCGTTGCTGGTCTTCCCTTGTTTTCAGAAGGACCATCTACAGCTTGCTCCTGCCGAGCCTTGTGAATGGCATACATCAGGTTTCCTCCAGAAGTTTAAATTTGCGGAATCTCGCTTTGCTTTTATCTAATTATACAGCGTAAAAATTATTCCTCACCCTCCAGGTTATTTAGTCCCTTCTCGACTGGCAGGCTGTTTGCAAATCCCATGCTACAGGCATTTTATTTCCTCCATTAACCAATGTTTGGCAGCCTCGATAACATTTCTATTTCCTTCATTTGAACTTCTAGTATTTCTCTGTGTCTCATTATTCTTGATTAGTTGTGTCATTTTAAGTGCTTCCCTCAACGTACTGCAATAACTGGGCCATGGCGAGGTTCCCTGAGAGCAAGGTGCAGCTTCAAGAAAAAAAAAAAAAGAAAAGATAAAAAAACCCAAACCAAAACAAAAAACCCTCTGCTGTCTACAGCTTACAATTTAATGTCTGACCGCACAGTCCTTCAGAGCCTTTCCTCTGGATCTCTGGTCCTAAATATGATGCCTAAAACCACACAGGCCTTTTTTCTCCTCTGAAATGTATGTTTCATTCTGTCCACCCTCACTCTTTAGGCTTCTCTTAAATTGCTGCTTTCCAGGTGTCTTCCATATGTATATGAATGAGCCTGCGTATTTGAAAAGTGATATTTACACCATAGCTTTCAGGTGGTTTGTCCCGTTCCTCAATATCCTCTCCATCTGTCTTTTTTTTTTTTTTTCCGCCCCAGTGTTCAGGACTCTGGTCAATGCCAAATGACAAGCAGAGTTCAGTGTTCTTTGTACTTTTGCTTCGGGTCACTAACCATTACGTATTTGCTCCCTTTTGGAGCCTTTTGGGTTTGGGGCAGTTGTTCCATTTGGAGTTTCCTCATTGCCTGGAACCTGCTCAACTCTTGACCAAATCTTGGAAATTCAGATTTCCGTGCTATAGCTCCCAGCATGTTTCGGGTAGGATGCAGGAGTCAGGAGGAGCTCCTCATTATTTCTCACCTCTCAGTGCATAGCCTTTCAGAGGATGCAAAACAGGGAACTTGTAGTTATTTGGGGCTGATGTGTAAAGTCTTTCCACTGCATTCAACACATGCTTAATTCTGAGTCTGTAAGTGGTTGCACAGGGCGCAACTTCCCATAGCCAATGCTTTGGATAAGTAGCAGTACAAAATAGTAGAGGGCTCCAGTAAAGTTGTGTAAGTTTACATAGGATGAGCCATACTTTGACAAAGAGACCATTAATCTAATATCCTGTCTGTAACAGTGAGCAGGACCTGCAAGCCAAGAATGTGAAAGCAAGGCAAGGCTGGAGAGATGCTGCTCCCCAGCAGCCTTTCAGGTTCTCATTCTCTTGACAAATTTGAACAGCAGTTTCTTAGAAGAGTGCTGTTTTCTGATGGAACAAAGTGTGAGAATAACTGTGGTAGGGCTGAAGTTAGTCTGGTGCACTTGCGTTAGTTTAGAGTTGATAATATGGTGGGGTAGTGGTAGGGCAGTGATATTTGCAATGTGTTTCCTGCGAAGAGTGAGAAGCACTTGGAAATGTAAGTTAATGAGTACTCATAATTCTGCTGAGAATAGACATGATCATCGTCATCATTTTCACCAAAGAGGAAACGGGAACAGAGAATTCGTGACTTGCTCTAGGTCACACACCGACTGTAGAGCAGAACTGCTGGGAGCCGAGCTCAGCCCTCCTTGTCTTGTGCTTCAGCCACAAGATGATCTTTCCAAGTGATTCGTCTTGGGCGCCTGTCAAAGGACACAGCATTTACCTCTGAGGCATGATCTGCTCAGCTTCTTTATACAGAATAGTCACATCCCTTTCCTTGCTTAACACCGATGACGAGCATAAATGTTTCTACCAGATAGGAGTTAAAGCCTGTGAGAATGTGCATTTGCAAATATGCAATAAACCAGTTACCTGGTTTCATGCCAAGGACTCTTTTTCCCTTGTGTGGCAGTGGGATGGGTTCTTACACTAATCCGTAATATTTACTTTATAGGGAAAGTTTGCTCGCTGCAAGCATCTGGAATTCTTTGTAACGTAGAAAAATTTTGGCCAAAATAAAAATTATCTTTTAACTTTCTAAAATGCACAGTCCTTATGATGAGAGGGGTTAAAAAAGAGCATAAAAACGTCCATGCTGTGTTACGTCATGGGCTCTCCTGGTCCAGTATTCCTGCTCTCATCAGGGCCAAAGGAATCTCTCAGTGAAGCAAAACTTCTGCAATATCTGATTTAAACTCCTAGGTTTATTCTGTCATCAACAGCAATGGGTTTCAAAGTTACTGTAATTCAATTATTTCACTTGTCAAAATGCCTTGCAGGAATGGTTTCTGCAAGGGAAACTGGAAACGTTTTTCACGGCTTTGCAGTTTTCCCCAGAACATGTGAAAAATCTTACAGCACCTCATATAAAAGGAATATAACGCATATAAAACTGAACCAATCCACAATTTGAGAAACCTCTGCCGCTTCTCTTTTCATGTTAAGCATCATCTTCCTGATCTAATTTCTTCTTTCCCACAAATGGGACCAAAACAAACCTTCACCACATTTCACGAGTCAGTAGAATTCAAAGATTATCAGCCATCTCGAGGGTAGTGACCAACGTCATTTATGGCCCAGGGCTTTCTTCATGCTGTGCCGGAAGAAAAAAAAAAAAAAAAAAACACTCAGGTCAAGCAGAGAGATTAACTGTGGCCCAAAGGATCTGTTTCTGTTGCCTGTTACTGTCATCCCGAGCAACCTCAAGCTCAGAAAAGTGGAATGTAATTTAACTGCTCTGCAAGAACCAGTGCAGATGGTAAAAGGGATGCGTGCATGACTACAGAGTAGGAAATCACGAAACCCTCAAAGTGGTGCCCTGTGGCATTTATACCTTAACACTATTTAGAGGAATCATATTTGAGTCACTTTGCTGTGTTTATCCATCTGTCCCTTGGAGTTCAAGTGGCGGACGACCCTGCTGTACTAGGTAGAGGCGTAGATGCAACAAAAAGGTAACCCCTGTTGCAAGGCTGCCCTCCTCCTGCTCCTCCCTGCCAACTTCCTCTCCGTATGGCCGGGTCTCCAGGAGGTGTTTGTGGTGACCAGAGCCAGGAGGGTTCCTCCCACCACACGCTGTAACCACAGAATCCAGACCTCCTTCCATCCCGTGCCCCGTGCTGCAAGGGACTGCTCTGCAGCGCGAAGGCTGCTGGATGCTTGGAGGAGGTGGTTGCTTCAGATGCTGGTTCAGCTAATTGGAGGCAACCAGCGGGGAGAAGAGGGAAATGGAGGTGGCTGGTTCATCGTGTCCTCAGCTGCAGCCGTACTTCTTGCACAGGCTGCCCCCTTCCTTTCCATGGAAACTCAACTTGCCCTGGCTTCTGCTGCAGCTGCTCACCCTCTGCTTCAGGGATGCATTGGTTGGCGTCGCCTGCACAGAGAAGCAGCTGCTCCGAGAATGGTTCGTGGTGACCGATGGAAAGCGTAAAGGCAAATATTTGTGTGTCATACGTGCAATATGAAAATTAAGTGCTGTTTAACCACGTTGCACTATGGACTTGGGAAGGCCTTGGTCCGTACAGCACAATAGCCTGCCTGCAAGAACTTGCCCCTTTTTATGACTTGCTCTTCTTTGAAAATGGTCCAAAGTTCATGTAGTAGAAGAGAGACTGTTGTCAGCCCTCCCCGAGCAACGAGGGCTGAAAGTCGCAGGGTGGGCTGCAGGAGGGAATCCTGCTCTGCAGGCTGCGCTGGCGCCCGGGGCAGCCTGCTCCGCGGCAGCAGTGTTTGGTGACACGCTTCAGCTCTGGGGAAATGCAAGTTTCCTGATTTTTCTTTGTTCGTGTGTCACCACAGCGTCCGGGCATATTTGTGATGTGGTGCCTCGCGGAGGGCTCAGCACCGCACCAGAGGAGCGGCGCTGACTTAGGCTCCGGGGCATCCTGGTTTTTATTCCCGTGCCACCACCTCAGCTGCTCCTCACAGTGCTTCCCATGGTTACCTTTTTTGTTTGTCTTCTCAGGGCGTGAGTTCTCTGGGCCAAGGGCTTGGCTTTCTGTGGTGTTTGAGCAGCGCTTAGGATGTCATGGCTGCAAA